TGCGTTGTGCACGCTGCTTCCATGGCAGCCGTTTCACACGTGGCTCTTATTCTCATCACACGCGCACACATAGATTCATAGATGTATTTCACATACCTCTGCACTTCTCCATCTCCTGAACTTAATCCCATCCGTACGGAAACTCAAGGCTCCTGTCCACGCTTTATGCTTTGCGCCATTTCTTGTAGCTCAGCAAGTGGGAAAGAAGGCACAGAAAACGTGCTCAGACCACCACTGCTCTGTGAGATCCCGACACAGAAGACAAACCCCTTAGCCTAAGCATAGTCAAGCATAAACTCCATACATAAACTTTTCATGGATGTTTGTAGTGATCTTGGCACAATATGAAACACTTGAACTAAGAACTACCAAATAACAGTTTGTATCTCAAGTGACAGCTTCAGAGAATTTCAGTTTCCAGTGCAACTTTCTATCCCTTAAAGCTAAGAAAACCCTCGTTTCCCAATTCCCACAATGGTCACAGATGGGAAATTTCATAGCAGATTATTAAAATCCAGGTTTGTAAGTCTACCGTGCCTATTGAAGCAAACTGCCCATTGAAAAAAAGCAGGCTTCAGTTGTGTTAAAACAAGGCAAATTCAGTATTTGTCTGCACGATGGCATTTCTTGAATGAACTCTGTATTTATACACACATTTCAATATGAAAAAAAGATTTCAAGGTCTTGTTTTCTGGTGTATTAAATGGGCTTTGCTAAATGGGCCTCAACAAACTATCACTATTCAAAATTTGTTTAATTAGAGCAACAGCTGCAGTAACATATATTTAAACAGGGAAAGTTTCTTTCTTTTGAACACTTAAAGTGGATTTAATTAGATAGTTTAAAACAACACAGCAACATGCGCAAAGTCATACATGATTTCTACCAACTTGAGGATAAACCAGACAAACTGACCTGAGGGTGGAATCTGTCCCCTGAATACTCTTTAACTCCTTCTGTCTTCCTCCCTGCAGGTGCAATATTTTCATCATTGCTCAGGGCGTTTCCCACTGACGAGCATAACATATGTTGTGGAAAACAGAGCTCCACACTATGGAGTGAAAGTCTGCCCTGCAAGCAAAAGGACCATTCAAACTAATGGGCAGTAGCGAGACCCATTGTAGGACAATTTGGCTTCAGCAGTGCCTAGAAACAAGCTTACTTGTACCAGGCCTCGATTTGACTCAGGGGTTTTAGAAAGTACTTACGTGTGCAAGGCTGCTGCTGGAAGAGACAGACAAAGTTTGAGTGGAGCAGCATTAAAGGGAATGTAGGAAGTATTATGTACATTTTAGTTGTGACAGGTTTCATATTCAGCATCTACCATATTTACAGAATGTTATCTACATGCACGATGAAAAAGCATTTGCATTTCTAATTTAACTCAGAAATATTTGTGGACCACTATCCTTGCAGTCTGTTCCCAAGGATTATTGTAATACCATTCCTTCCTGCTTACTCACATTAGACCTCTTCTCATTCCTTGGATTTAAATAAGCTTCAGATCCTGCTCTCTATATTCCACTACTACTTATTTCCGTTATGCAAACATCCAAAGGTCCCAATCAGGATTTTGGCTCCTGCTCTTCTAGGAGTTCAGAAGATATAGCAAATTGATATTCCCTCTCCTGGAGGGTGTCAGCGCTCATGTCCCTCACTGCAGCCTAGCACGTGGCAGCATTCACAATATCAGGAAGAATATTTGAATAACACAGTTTTGGGCTGCAATTAGCCTGGAGTCATCATACTTTTTTGTATTTGTATTACATAACAAAATAACCTGGTAAGTAGATGTTCCCAGGATATAAAGTCGGTCTGATGTGAAGTAACTCGCAGCACAGCCCTTAATTTGGGCATGAAACTATTATTTAGCACAGTAAAGACAACTGAAAATATTACCCAATGTTCTCACGCAACTAAAAGGTCACTAGTTTATTTCTCTTATTATGAGTAACAGTCTGAAACATTTTACATTAATTTACAGTCATGAAAAAGATCCCTATGAGTATTTCACATAGGCACATTAAGTCATCCAGTTAATGCTAATTATTATTTCAAAAGTTAATCTTATATAAGGTTAAACATTTTTTGAATTATTTCTTGCCAAAAAAAATAAGATCAGTCTACAACCATGCAGAAAGTAGAAACACAAATTTCTAAGGCGCCACTACCATTGCTATGAAGTTACAGTACGAAGCATTACAACATTCTGCCATAGTTATCACTTCTTCCAACATTTAAGATGGTAAAAATTCCCTTTTCGCTTTTTACTGCACACACAACATTGACAGTAAAAGGGGAATTTTTATTCATAATGTTCATATCAAAGGTAACAAAAGAGCTTGCAAGGCATTTACTTTTTACCTACAAAAAAACATGGCTACGGAGCAAAAAGGATTATTCTTCAAGAAGTGGCAGGTTTTTCTGCTTTGCACACCCCAGTAACAACACTCCTCTCCTTCCACATGCCTGAAACTTCCACAGACAACAGCAAAAAAACCTCGTGCTCATGGGGCAACAGAGAAGCAAAGTTGAGATCTACCGTGCAGACCTAAGGGGAGGCCTTGGTCACAGAGGAGCCATGCAGAGCTGGAACATCAGTGTGCCTACAAGATGAGTGCAGTGCAAAAAATCCCGAGTGTGCTGATGAACAACATTTGGATGTTGTACAACTTTTTTCTCAAACTCTTGTTGAAACCAGTCAATCTAATTTGTGTGTCACTCAGCAACACAAAAAAGAGCCATTCAAACCTGTAGCCTTCTCGTGAGGGACTTCAGCAAGGAGCAGCTCACTTCCCTGGGGGAGTGCAGCCAAGCCACAGCAGAGCTGCTCCAGTGGGCTCAGCTAATGCACCCACAAGCAGCTCATCTGCTCACGCAGCACCCATGCACTCAGGGCAACTGCTGTGGCCTTTCACCCATGTCAAAGAGCTCTGGCACCATGCACAGGTGATTGTGGGTCACCGTGACTCACTGACACACTGCGTCTGGGGCAGGGAGCCATGGACAGGAGAGAGGCCAGGCCCTAAAGCCAGAAGGGAGGCTATCTTGAAACGCTTTGCTGGGAGCTCAGCACAGCAGCACACATTTCACTACAGACATCGCACACTTTTCCCACCGCCCTTTCTCTCATTTGGGCATCCCTTAGCCATTCCTCTCCCCAATCATACCGTCTCCTTCTAGATCACCCCTGTTGTCCCTCCCCACCCGGCACCAGGGCCCTGTTCATGCTGGAGCTCACCAGCCAGGGAAGCACAGGGACCCAAGTCCCCTCCCCTCCGTTCTGCTGATCTACCCCAGCCTCCCTCATGCCCCTAGCCTCATTAGCTGCTCCTTGCTGCAGGCCTGGCAGCCCGGTTCCTGCAGCGGGTACCCCTCCCCGTGCCAGCAGGAACCCACAAGCAGTGCCTGAGCCAGAGCAGAAGCCCTGTCGCAGCCAGCTGGGACACACTTCTCTCTCTGGCACCAGCACAAGCAGCTCCTGTCCTTCACCTAGACCATGGCAGGTCCTTCTGAGCAGCACCACGGGGAACCCAGCATCCCAAGACCTGTCCCAAAAAGGTCTCCTCCCCATCACACCAAGAGCAAGATGCATCCCTTACTGCATGACAGGCTACACTTCTTTCATGCCACAGAACGGAGCTCCCTTGACGTGACAATGGAGTAAGGCTGCATTTGGTGGCATTCATTTGCTCCTAGCAACGTATGGAAGAGACTCAAACCCTAGTTCTGGATGGGAGTTTCATCTACTGTACTGCAAATGTGGTATTATTTGCATACAACAGTTAAATACCACATGCCAGTGCAATGAAACCCAAAGAGCTCTGATTGCAAACCCTAGAAAAGAGCAATCAGCCTGGCTGCACTGCAGAATTTCAGTACTTTTCCTAACGGGGCCCACACAGGAAGTTTTGCACCCACTGTGTCACTCAGAGCACTGACAGTCACCTACTCGGAAAGAAACAGATTGTAAGTCCATCTCCAAGTGAGCAGGATCAAGCCTGTCTCCCTTCCAGACACAAGGCCCTGAAAGTACACCCCACTGCGGAAACAGTTTGCATTGCTAGAGGACAGTTTTGTAACATAACCGCAGGCAGAAAAGCGTTCAGACGACAAAAACATTGTGATCAACATGGTTGTCCCTTCAGGCCTTTTCAGAATAGCCTTCTCTCACATAAGAGAAACAGCCTGAGGAGAAGGCCTCAGATTCTGGGAACCAGAAACTGCTGTTTGCCCCAAAACTTCCTCTGTGGCCTCAGTTTGGTTAAGGAGTATCTCCACTCATCTACTCCTCTCCAGCAAGACAGGAAAAGCAGCCCTGATCTGCTCAACAAGGTCATTGCAAGGTCCTCAGACAAGATAAAGAATATAAAAATTGAGGCCCAACTAAGAACGTTATACAGATTTAAACTGTGATGTGCAAGAGCACAATCTATATGCAAAGTCTGCATTTAAAATGGGGCTTATGAGTTCAACTGCACATGCTCAGAAGACAGAATTTTATACTACTTTGAAGAGGAAATTCCTCATTTCTGTGCCAGGCCTATGTACAGTTGCAGCATTTGCAGTCAGGCCAAAATGGAAGTATCCAGTGGGTCAGGGTCTGTTTTCCACTACTGTGATGCCCTACTTTCCTCCTGCTGTTATTCCTTTTAAACCAATGGGTCATCAGCATGGATATGAAGAAATACAGCATGATACAGACCCAGAGCATTCAAGCTGATATTCAACACTTCACTTATTCCTCCATGTGCCTCATACAACACACCGTTCAGAGAAAAATGACATCTTGTGCAATTCTTGGACTCACTGGTTTAGATTAAAAGCATTTCAATCGTTGCTCTGAATTTCCTGCATAGCAAAAGTTGAGAGAGACATCAATCTTGTCCTCACTTTCAGTGAGGGTGAACATGAATCCAGCTTTGTTGAAGTAATGTGCATTTATGGCAGCCCACTACTTAGCCTGTCTGTCTTCATTAGCTTTTAGAGTTACTGATGAAGCATCAGGGCAGAGCTCACACACCCATGAAGTATCCTGGGTACCCAAGAGGTATTATCTAGAAAGGAATCAAAATTCTGGTCATGAAAATATTTATATTAGCTGAAAAAGCCAAACTCCGCCAAGAATGGAGCTAGCTGGCAAGTTTCCCCAGAGTCTCTTCACCACTGAGTAAAACACAGAAAGCAGCCCCACCTACCACCAGCCCCGTGTGCATGCCCAGCGCTGGTTAGTACTTTAAGTTGGGCATCAACTATTTGTAAGGCCTCAAAAATCTGGAAACTTTAGAGCGCAGCAGCCGTATGAAGGATCTTGGGAACATCTCTCTTGATTCTTGGGCTGTGTACTTGAAGTAGTTCTGTGGATGCGCCAACACATCAAACAATGCTTTTATCAGCTTCTTATCCTAGAAAAAGGAAAGCAGATTTTCCAGCCATACCGCAGAAGAGTTAGGGTAAGTATCAGCAAAGCTCAATGACCAGTCCACTCATAACAGATTATGAGCATTTTATTTTTCAAGTACTAATGTTTCGGGGCCTCTCAGATCAGTAGAGCAAGGTTAATGTTCAGGTCCCACAGAAAGTCAGCTTAGAGTCACACTGAACATTAGTGGTGCCAGGATTTTTTCCACTCCTCTTATGTTCAAGAATAGCAAAACTCAAAAAGCAGGGGCTGATATCTAGCAAAAGAAAGGTCTACTTGGGATGACAACCACTCAACTTGCCCATGCAACTGTCCCCTAACCCAGGGAGGAAAAGCCACTGCTAATCTATAGGCTACAATAGCAGCAGAGCTCTGCTCCAGGAGATCAAATCTCGTGTCCTTCAGTTTGCTCCACCAATTCCTTCCTGCACAGTCTATTTAAGGCCCAAGCCTTACTATAAAGGATTACACATGGTCCTAGTAGGTCTGACCCACCTTCGATCTCCCTAGACAAAGAGGCTGTTATCGACTGCCCTGCACAACTGGGGCATGTGCTGATTTAGCACTTTCCTGAAGTGGTAGCGTGTCTGCTGCGCTGAGGAACAAACAACCTGATACAGAGCAGGAGGCAACCTCACTGGCAAAAACTAGTGTCATTTACAATCAAAAGCAACATTTTCCATGGAAGAAATTTACCTTCAGTATTTCTTGATGATTTTCAGATGCATAAAGTCTGCCGTCCCGAACAATGTCTTCTATTAGCTCTTGGTAATCCTCTATTGAGAATGCACAAGAGAGTCATTTGCACGTTCATTTCACTTACATATTCAATATCTCCCTTGGTTACATATGTAAATCCTACCCCCAACAGAACCAGTGGTACTTGGCTCTCATTGTGGCAGTCAGAAAGTATTCCAAATGCTCTTCTGTAAATAAAGTGCAAACACTGTTTACTATGAGGCTATAAAGCATACTCTGCTGAGCTGTTCATCATCAATCTGTCAAAGGCAAAAGAAATCATAAGGCACCTAAGATTGGAGCACATACTGTAACCACGTGGCCTGCTTCAATCCAACTGCACTACAAAAAAACTGGAGCTCTCCTATCTTTGTTTCAGTAGAGGAGGGAACTAGCTCTGAGGGTAGAAAGATAAACGCGTATGGTTAAGACGGCTCGTAGGGATAATGGAGCACTGGCCGGGATGTACAAAATGACCTGAAAATGGTGGGTCAAGGAAGCATTTTCACAAAAGTTTTATAGAAAAGACGGAATGCCTCATTCTGAAGGAGGCAGTTTTTGAGAGGTTTTACTCTGTAGACTCATCACTGCTTTGTAGAGCCTTTAAGGCACCTACAAATTTCCCAGAATCGGACATAACAGCCACCCCAATGCTGAGCTGCCTGACATTACGAGGGTCCAGAGCATCCAGAGCTGGTCACAGGGGAACTCTCAACACTCCCAGCCTGCAAAGCCCTGTGGGTGAGTGCCTCAAGGGGCCTGGCCTGAAAGGAGCACCCCCTGCTACCAGATGACAGCTGGTAGCAACTGCACAATAAACCACAGCAGCACTTACCAGTGCCCCTGACTAGGAACACTCTGCCCCTGAAGTAACCCAGAATTAGGAAGGCATAAAAATACATAGTACACACTCAGGCTGCGAGTTCTGCACTTTGCCTTTGTGAGTGAGAGCCCAGAATCCCAGCTCTTTGTTTAAGTTTGTGGAAGACTGGAAATGTGATTGCACTTCAGAACTGCAGCACAATACAGAGACCCTTAAACTAGTTTTAAATGAAGACAGCTACTGGAAGCAGTCTAATAGTGACAGTACCAAGAGGGCTGGGTTACACCTTCTTAGCAGGGTCAAGAAGCCCACAAGGAATTGTGTGCTGCTGCAGCTGCACTCGTCCACATCACTCTCAGCTGCTCACATCCGCTTACCATCATATGTTACGTAAGGAACTTGGAATCCTTTGGCACTGTTCCCTTCATTCGACTTGAACTGGATCCACAGCTTCTTAGACCTCGAAGTGAAAGCTATAGGGCGTTCATAGGTTTGACAGGTTTCATACGTGGTCACAGAATTGGAAGAAGCTTTCAAAGAAAACACAATAGCCAGTTATCGGACAATACTTCATGGTAATCAACAATTAAAAAAATAAAAAGTCAAACTACCAAATCAAGAAATGCTTGCATGTTGGTAGGCATCATGCTGTGACAGTCAAATAAAAGCAGTTGCATATCTAGTTCTGCAAGCATGACTGCATTAGGAGTTTGCTCACAGTCTGAAATTGTATTGAGAGGAACAAATTCTGCCTTCAACACACTGGCATCTTCTTCTCCCAAGGCACTCAGCCAGCTTTCAATATCTGCAGTATGCTTCTGATCTCTCAATAGGACAACTCACACCCAATTGGTATTGTACAGCCCAAGGGGAGTTCCTAGAATGCCTTTTACACCTGTGAGTAACATATGTAGTAAACGTGAAAAAAGCATGCTCCAACCTGCACCCATATCCTGCTAGTGTTAAGAAAACCCTGTCCTTCATAACCAGGCAGGCCATCTATGGATGGCAGGCCAACAATGGATGACTTGTTGGTCCAAGAATATTTTCCTTTTTCACAAAAACGGTCTACTCCTTGAAGGATGTGCCTATAGTAGAAACTGAAGCTATATATTCACAGATGAAGCACCTGAAGGGAGTGGTTTGAAGTCCAGCAAGTATCTCCTCTTTCCTAACCCAGGCTAGAAAAGCTCAAGCTAACTAGTGATGAACTATGCGCAAAGCTATCTACCTCTTCTTAACAATGTTTCTCACAAAGTTCACTGACACATCATAGCCTTGCACCCTTGATTCACTTGAACCCATGGAGAAGCTCTGCAAAATAAGATTTCTCAATTTGTCATTTAAAGAAATCAGCTGTCCTACCCTTCAGAGCTCTAGTCTTAAGTACAGGACAGCTGGGCTATGCTTAGTTTAGCTAACAACGTTAGGGCTAACAACAATGCATAGAAGCAGCCTGTATTGCACATCGAGATAGATACCATATGCCTCAGTAAATATTTCAGACTTACAGCTTTTTCGCATCACCAGGTAGTCTCCACACTCATCTTCTATTGGCAGAAATATTTCTGGAACCACAATCAGAATACGGCGCTTTGGTGGTGGGTTAATATTCCAAGTACACTCTGCATTCGCAGGATAGTCCCCTGGATAGTTTGGTGATTCGATATATCCAGTGTAGTCTCCCAGTTCACCTCCACACTGCCTGTCTGAAAAAGCAATACAGCATGCAGGACCAGGCAGAGCGAGATCTTCCTACAGCTCTCTCTGCAGTCGCTGGCTTACAGGCACACACGCTTTGCTGCCTGCATCTGATGCAGCTACAGCTCTCTCTGCCAGCTTTGCTTCACACTACCGCTTGCTTCTGCCTTTGTGGTTTAATCAGTGTTGAGAAATAAAATATAGACTAATTCCTGCTAAAGAACAAGAGCTGCTAATTACCAACCCATAGCCAAGCAGCAGGACGGTTGTAAGAGGACATAAAAATGGTCAAGTGAGGATGCTCCTCTTGTTTGTACCAGACAGAATATTTTATAGAAGTATCCGCCAAAGTCTAACTGGAATCTGCTCTGCTCTGCTCAGGTGCTATGTCTGCAGCAACGCAAACAGGGAAGAGGCCAGGCCTTCCCTTTGCACACATCAGCACCCCAGCATGGATACAAGGCCATAACCTTCACTAGGAGATGGTGAGCCCCAGTGCAGGATGCTTTGCGCATACTCCCCAACTTGGCATGGTCATAACCGTACCGTCTGGGTACTGCAGAACCATAACATGGATGTGTGAGTATGACATGTCCAGGGAGCAGGGCTTTCAAGTGAGAGACACGCAGTACCCAGAACCATGTTTATATATATACGTATGTATGTATACATGTGTGTGTGTATATACAAGTAACTCCAGAGTTACTCCAGTGTCTCCTCTCCCTGCTCTGTTTTCTCTTCTTTAATTTACCCTTGACTTCTCAAACTACAGCTACCATAATGTAGAACAGAGGCTCTCTTTGTAATTGCTTCTTTCAGAGGTTTTTTATTAAGTAAAAATGCTTACTAGAGCTAAGTAGATTTTGTGAGCTAACTTCCATTCCGGGAGAAAAGGTTTAATAGCAAGACCCAGAGTGACCCAGCACCCAATGGCAAGACACAATCATCACTTACCTTAAGAGGAATGGTGGAACCATTCTGCAGAAGTGGTCTCCCATGGACCTCAGTAAGTCACGTGAGATGCAGGTAGGCAGCAAAAGAGGGGCAACACCACTGCCTTCTCTCCAAGCTCCCTGGAGCAAAGCTAAATTTTGCTCTTAAGGTCACTCTGGATATTAATGACCCAGCCTTTTCATTTGTAACAGACTGTCAAAGCGTCTTGCTATACTTACTTTTGCATTGTGTTATATTTGTTGACCCATCAAAATCAGTAGTGGTGTTTCCAGGGCATGAAATACAGTAATTTTGTCCAAACTCAGGCTGGTACGTCCCAACTACACAGCGAATACACCGATGAGTTGTAGTATTATAAAAATGGCCAGGTGAACACTGAACTGGAAGGTATTTTAAAAGGCAGCATAGTTTAAAAAGTGGCAGTAGCACATCAGAATGTAATTTTTATGCATTTTTATAGAGCACGTTCTAATTTCAATGCCTGCAATGCTATATCCATGAACTACTAAGATGATAAAACAGAATTAACTGAAAAGACTTCAGTTCACCAAATCACTTTGTCCAAGTTCAAAAACCCCAAATGTAGTTTTACAGAGCAATGTGTGGAAGCAGTAATAAAAGATAAGATGGAGTGAGAAGTCTGGCATGATTTTGGTAGCAGGGCATAGACCTGAAGAGTATGTTATCAAATGTTTGACGTGGAAGATGAGCTTTTTGTGCAAATACTAACTAAATCTTTCTGTCTTGCCAGGTTACACTGAGCAGCAGGTGTAGTGCTGCTGCATCCTAGGAGATCCCTGTGATCAGTTCACCACAAGCAGAGGGGAAAGGGTTTGGCCCTCTGCAATTTGTACATTGTACCAATACTAGTGACTAAACAAGTATTTTGCCTTCTTCTCTCATGATCACACACTGTCTTACAACAACATGCAATGACTCATGGTACAGTCACCTTCACCATATCTGCTGCTACTTTATTTCATCATGTCACCCAAATTACCAGGACACATAAGCTATAACCTTCGCAGGGGTTGCTGAGGGTACCTCCTGCGTCAAAGCCAGCCCCAACTCTGACATACAAAACCTTTCATAAACATAACAAATTCTACGGAAGATTTAGACATAAGACAGACGGACAAACGGGAAAAAAAATTTTCCTTTCTAGCAGACTTGCAACTTCTTGTTCCAGCTCACTGGAATGCAGACAGGAAGATTTTCTTCTCTCATTCTTTCTTCTCTCTCTTCTCTCAACAGCTTTGCTTACATCTCTAATATGATTGTTTTCATATGATTTTGCTTAGCTGTTCTGCCTCTGCATCTATGTCCATCATCATCTGTACTGAAACCTGACAGAAAGCAGTCAACAGCATAGGCCATAGATTATCTTTGCTCTTACCTCCATCTCCACCTCTTTGCCCTTTTTAATTTGTGGGATTGAAAAATCTTTTCCTATTTCTTTTCCTTCACTTGGCAAATTTACCTCTCTCAGCTTGACTTTAAAATAATTCTCCACCTGGCCTTTCAGATGTATGCACAGCCTTTCTGTGCTGCACGGTCCCTTTTTCTGTTCCTTTTAGTCTTTGCTTGCTCCTAAATAATCTTTTCCTTGTTCAGCTTTTTATTCAGCTAGCTCAATATGAAGCACTTCCCTACATGTTTTTTTCTCCTTCCAAATGCTTCAGACACATGTTCCAAAAAGTTCTTGCACCTGTGATTTAAACAGATTCAGTGTCTCATGTGGCCTCTTCCACATGCAAGTCCCTGGGGGCTCTTCATTCCAGATGATATAAAAATTCCTTTAATCTTTACTGTAACTCAGAAACTGAGTCTCATTTACAGACCTGCTTTTGTTTACCTGTTGTGTTAAATAAATATGAAATCAGCTCCTCTTATCTTGATCCAAGTTGTTTTTTCGTATGTGTTTTTTTTTTTTTTTTTTACTATTTTTAACTGTTCTTACTTTGCAAAATTGAGTATGAAACAGCAGCGTTTGTGGATTCAGTGATTCTTCATTGAAGAAATCTGTTAACTCTCACATTATTACCAGAAGCATTGTTCTTCAACCATACTGCAAGATTCTTCTATTACGTTGCAATTCTCAATATGCTCAACAGTATACATAACTTAACTGATACCAGAGGGGTCTGTTAAGCTAAACTAGCACCAAATATTTGTATCAGGACCTTATTTCTGTCCCTTATTTCTAGTCTATTCCAAAAGATTTTCTATTTCCTCTTTTTATTCATGGTGATTTTGATACAAGTGATGGTCTTCTACCTATGCCTTAAGATACTAGGCAATTATAACAGTTAACGTCTCATCTTTCTCTATGGACACGTATTTTTATCAGCATTTTCAAAGACAACTTTATAGCTATCTTTCAGTTTTTTAGATTTTAGATGACTAAAATACTAACAAGATATCTTTCCATTTTGAAAGATATGATCCCACCTGATTTTCACTCTTGTAAGTCAAACTTTGAGAGTTAATTGCATGGCAGCTCCATTGTGGTCAAGTTCGGAGGGCTCTGTGAGGTCCTGCAGAGTTAACCTGAATGCTGGCTCTTCATATGTCTCCCAAGGCATCCAAGCCAGTTTCTCATTATGAACATGAAGAAACCATTTTCTTACTTATCCCCTAGGTCTGCAGTTTCCTCCTTCACATTTTGAAGCAGGCTGCTGTGCTCAAAACCAAAATGGAAATAAGGCATAGAGCTGTTGATTTTCCCCTGAGACTTATTTCTTTTCCTTCCAGAGTTCCTTGCTGTAACTTTTCACAGATCCAAGACTTCACCAACCAACTTCCACCTGTCTCCCAGTGCCGCCTCTAGTCTTGTATAAAAATCACTTATGAAAAGACTTGAGGCTCTACTGAGTTTCCTTGCAGTCAGGCCAGGGCAGCCAACCACAAGAAGCTTGGCAGCAGAGATCCTTGAAAGGAGAAGCACCCTTCTTGCAATGCCCCATTTGTAGCCAAAGCCATAGCTTTGCCTCAAAGCAGTGCAGCCCATCATATCTTGATCTTACCTTTGGTCTCGCATTCCTGAAACAAGGATGCACTGCTGTATCTTGTTGTTAGACCTCCTCCACAGGGAAAGCAGGATACCCGCCCAGCTTCAGGCTGGTATGTTCCAAGGGGGCATGGCAGACAAGGTTTGAAGCCATCAGGGGAATATTCACCTGGTGAGCACTGATCTAGAGGAGGAAGAACACACTTGCCTCAACCTGTACGTTAGGGATGAAGGATGTTAGTGAGCCTGCACAGGACCTGCAACTCCACAATGTAACTGCTCTCCTCTTAACTGGGCAAGTGGGGGCCTGGGGTTCAGAACCAAGTGCAAGGAATATATAGGACTTGGTACATACACTGTACCCTGTAAAATTGAAATGTACATTGGTAACTTCTGGTGCTGGTGAACTTCTCTGTGAACTGCTATGGATTTCATGCTTTGTTGCAAAGCTGTCACACCAGGCCTGCCCAGTAATCTCTGTTAATCTGTATGGTGTGATCAGATAGTGCTTATCTCCTCTTTCTAGGTAAAGAGCTCTTGGACCTCTCCAAAACGAAATAATTTAGCACTGAAACAGAGCTACCAAAAATGTACTTCCAGATTTCTAAAAGTATTTTTAATATTAATGATTGTTGGAATATCATACCTCAAAAAAAAACAATGTTGCTGAATTGCATGAAAACCTCAAGCACAATAAAGACTTGTGCAAACTTACTAATCTAAACATAACGCATGCCTCAAAGACTTTAAATTCCTCTGGTACTGGATCTTAGATATGATTATCTGTGCCCTAAATTGCTGTTTTCTGTATAGTATGTAGAGACCGTTAACCTAATCAGACTGATTTTATTTAAATACACACTCCAATATTACGTAAAAATCCCAGGAATATGTATGGGTGCCTCAAAAAATTCTGCTTTTCAAACTTTTCACAAAACAACTAATTTTCATGCCGATACTCAATAATTACCCTGCTGTAGAAGGCACAAAATACTGTTGCAGTTGTTGAGCTGTGCTGAAAAACCCTGCCCTTTTAAAGAGCTGTTACAATAATAAACTGTTAGTTTTAGTTTATAGCTCCACTAAATCACTCACTGAATAGCTGTTTTGTTAGCAAGTTAAATTGGCCTTGGCTTCATTTCAGGATATATGACTAACAACAAGCATGCATTAACTACCGGTCATGATCAATGATGAAGAATTTCGTTTATGGCTGATACACTTGGTCGAATAGTGAGCACTCTTCTTTAGCTTAAAAATAAAATACAGCAGGTTAAGCAATGCTCTGTAGATCATCAACGAAAGCTAGCGAGGAAAATGACCATCTTAGCTCTCGGTTCTGACTTTTCCATCATATATCACTTCTGCTCTCGTAAGGACACACGTTCATTTGCTCCCAAGCTTTTCAATCCTTTCTTATTTTATAAACATTCCTACAGAACCCTCACCTCTGTACTCTCTGTGCAACTCAACAAACATGAATGAATTAAGGCTTTCATTGCAACACTCCTAATAAGGTAAGGAAAGAGCAATATTTTCATTTCAGTGAGAAGGAAAGACACCAAGGTTAGTAAAGATGATTCTGAGAAGTATCTACTGACTTTAGGAACCCAGAGTTAGTGAGAAGCCCAGTGCTAGTCTCTTTTCCCCAAAAACTCTATGGGTATATGGCTATATGGCCAAGGAAAGCTCTGAGTGGCCTCACTAGAGGCTATCTGCCCTCTGCTACCTCCTCGTAAACTGCCTTCTGCCTTCCTTCTAATCACACTTCAGGCTTGGGATCTTTGGTGTGTCTTTTAAAAAAAAAAAACAGAAACAAAAAAAAAAACGTAACTTTACGTTGACACACATAAAAACACAAGTACCACCTTAAACTGTACTTCAGGTTTCCTGAACATGCTCAGAGTGCAGCATAACAGTAGGTTAGTTCACAGAGCTCAACAGGAACCTGTCCTGCATCCCAGGCAGGAACCAAATCCACTCCTTACATAGAAATGTCACTTTTGAGAACCTATCCTATCAGATCTCTCCTTCTTGACTATTTTACCATCTGCACATCACCTACTTTGAAATGTTATGCTATAAAATTATAGAGCTCCCTGTGGAAGAAAACTGAGTCGATCTAAATATTGCAGAATTATTTAGCAAAATGACTAATTTTTGGAAATCTGCACTCTGGAGGTAAATTTATGCAGCTCTCCTCTGGCATCACTGAGATCCCAAACCTGTGGCATCCATACACATGTTGCACAACCGATTACTGAAAGCAAGTGAAAGAAGGTGCAGAAGCATCAGGTGGGCTGTTTCTGTGCCTTACCTCCACATTCAGACACACTGTGAGCTCCAGCTAATTTTTGGCTTCCAGGATTTTGAGGACTGGGGTCACAAGTCATTTGTCCTTCCTCATCCTGGTCAATTCTATTAGGGCATAAAACACAGCTTTCTTGTTCCCCATCATAGCATATTCCCACACTGCAGCTAACTAGCAACAAGAAAAAATATCAGCTCATCACCATTTTGTGTCTATGGGATCAAAGCCAAATTAGATGGCAGCAGCTAAACTACTAGACAAATTATGAGGTGATACAAAGACTAGATTTACAACAGTATTAGAGCTGATCAAATACCAGGACTTCTGCTATTTGGGGGTTTGTGCACAACTGAAAGACTGCTGGAATTTTGTTTCAGCTTTATTCAGGGTTAATCTGTGGCCTATTAAGCTGCTACCATATCGCAAGGGAGGTACACTTCAACTGTTTCAGGCCCCATTTCCCTCCCATCCTTTACCTGTACAGGGCACCCAGGGATGCACTGTGTCAGTTCTGCTGGGGGCACGGTAGGGTATGACATTGGCCATGCTCACAGAACAAATACAAAGCTGTGACATATTATAATATAACTGCAGCAGCTAAAGGCAGAAACTAAAAATCAGCCTGAGTCAAAGCAAAAAGTTCCCATTTGATCGGAACCAATCAACCTCAGTATTTCATTTTGATTTTCCTAAAAGGTGGCAACAACAAAAGGTAAAAAGTGTCCAACTAGCTACTCTCCAATGCAATATGCAAAACCAGCTGACAAAAGCTGCGTACAGCGTGGCGGTTACAGTTTTGAAAGAGCTTAAAGAGAGAAAAGCTCATCAGTCAAGGATTAAGCGGAAGGAGAGAAGACAGACTGGCCCAACATGGAGACAAAGCCAAATAATGACTACCCGGCTGTTTCAGTAGGAAATAACACTTAAAACCAGGAATCTATGTTTGGGCAATGGCAGCTTGCCTGAGACAAACTGGACTGACAGGGGAATCCAGCTGGATGAGCAATGGGCTCTTCTGTGCTTCCATGGGGCTTTGGCTAATAGGATGCCACCACCCTCGCAAGCAGAGGTCAGCTGCTCTTTGCTTAGAAATCAGTTCACATCATTACCAGAGCCCTGCAGTGACAGAGCAGCCTTCCAAGGCAAGCTGGGTGAAGGAAACACTAGCTGCCTTTACAGCAGAGGTTACTAGTTTATTAAATGGATTATGTGGTATGGTGCCTGCAATTGCAGAGACCTGACCCAGATGGAATAGGCCTATGAGAATACTCGACACACATTCATACCTGATATTACTAACTGCAGTAATGGCCCTGACTCACAAGGGTATTAAGTGCCCATGCTCTATTTGAAAATAATGAGAACTGAAAAAAAGCAAGCAACTCTAGATTAAGTCCTATAAAGGTAAAATATATGAAATACAAGGACTGGGAAAATTAAGTTTTAAATTTTGGACTCCGTAATGCAAAAAATGCACAATCCTGTCTTTTTCCCATCATGACTTTTGAGGTATGCCAAACACTTCAAGCCTTAATAGATCTTATGTACCTATGAGAAAAGAGGCTAATACCTCCAGATAAAGATATAGCTATTTATGTCTGAAAAATACCATTATTCAATGTAAATATTAAAATTACTCCAAGTGATGCCTAAGCCTTAATGCTTCAAGCTCTTAAACACACCAGTTTCTCTACATGACTACATAAAACCAAGCTTTTATAAGTGGTACAAGTGTCCACACAGCCTGATCTGCAAACACGTTCCCTGTGGATTGCTCCTAATTCCTTCCCATCTTCAACCTAGAGATGTTCCAAACACCTCATCTAACCCCACTCAAGTACAAAGCAGAGGCAATGAGGAAAGCATGTTTAGAAACTCATAGCACTTACCAGGGCCCAATTTACCATAACAAACAGATATAATTGGCATTAGGCTCAATTATAGTAACATTCATTACAGAGACAGTACATCAACACAGAAATCATCCCACGGAAATCCATAGGACTGTGCATGGAATTAGGATGACACAAATGAGTCCTCTCTTAAGAGAACAAAAACCAAAGAACCCCCCTCTAAGGCAAATTAAAATTCTTCTTGTCAGAGCATTTGTTTAAATGAAGCTAAAAAGTCTATGAGCCTCATTTCACAAAACTAGAAGCTGCATAGTCCCTCCTGACACATGGGAAATGCCCACTTTGAAACAAGAGCTAAAGATTTGCAAACAACGTTAAATCAGAATTCCACTGATGGGCTTTGCTCTTTTTCAGCAACCTGCTTGTTTTTCTCCAAATGAACAAAAGAATCAATTGCCTCCAGTACACTTCATTTCTGCAGCCACTGTCTTTGTCTTCAATGCCCATTAAAACCCCAGTCTTGAATCTCATGCAGCTGTTTTAGAGAGAAAGAGAGAGACAGAGAGGGAGGGAGAGAAAAGTGAAAGCTTTTCTGATGCAAAAACAAGAAAGAAAATAAAGGGGGAAAAAAAGAAAGAGAGAGGCCCACAGGGAACCAGGATTAATAGTTACAAAGACATTTAAAGGCTCTTCCCCTCTTTTCAACACATTAGTCTTTGAGCGTTTGTGCCTATAGACAAATGCTGTAGTACTCACTGGCTAAGAAGGTGAACCTCATAAAGGAGGTCATGATCCACCATCTCGCCATTTTCCTAAGAACTATGCCTCGACTCTATAAGCAAAATCACAAACAACTGATGCAAATTGATACTGAGACGGCATCCTTGAAGTTATTGTTTTTTAGCAGTTCACATACTTAGGTCACATGGGATAGTGATGTTTCTTAAGGATTTATGTCTTAAATTATGACTGTGAGAGCAAGCAGGTGAGAATAGTGAAGTCTCTGCTGTTTGATAACTTACTTCTTTATTTCTTCTTGTCAGTTTTATAAAAGGTTAAAAAATAAATGCAACTTATGGTTCTCTGTTGTGTGAAAACACAACTACAAATTGCAACAACTGCAAAGACAGACAGTATTTTGTTTTTCCTCTACAAGCCTCTTTTTCACGCTTTTATAATGCCGGTATCGTACCACATCCAAACTTTAACAACCATTTTGTATGAAAAGTTAATATTTTGTTTGCATCCTCTAAACTAAGGGGACAAAATTGCTGAGTGCTGAGCAATGAAACGCAGCAACACCTCCCACACAAAGTAAAGCTGCTCAACCTGTACTTCAGAGCAGTGCCTTTGCCTGTGCTGATCATGCTTGCTGTTCTCTGCAGTGGCTAAGCCCTCTGGATGAAACCGTCTGTGACTACAGTGGATCAAGGGCATTCTTACATGTCCTTCCACACGGTGAGAAGACCAGGAAATGGTATTTTTCTTTGCCTTGCTTCCATCACTAAAAGTATTCATGCATCCAACACAGAAAATACCAAACAAAACTTTCAGCTACATGGGATGTGACCAATGTAATCATAGTATCTGAAGCAATGGGAAAAGCAGTTAAATTGCTTGGCTGCTTTTCTCTCAGTGGAAAACACTTGGGGGCAAAAGGGCCTCGAAGGATATCAACTTCATCTCTTTCAGTATGGCTGTTCCTAGTAAACCAAATTCCAATAAGAAATTGCCAGTATTTAAACAGTTTGGTTTTTGGTTGTGAAACCTGTCTAAAATCTAGCTCATGCTCTAGAACCAGTAATTGTAGCCAAGTTAGCGGATGTAACTGCATTCTTCGATAGACAAGGCTATCGCTCTCCAAGACAAATCTCCACCTTTCAGAGAGGCGTTTAGGATTTCCTGAATCCCTGGAGGCTTCAGCCTTGAAGCACTCTCAGTCAAAACTGAGTCAAAATATGTTTTTTAGTGCAAGATTTATTTTAGTGTGGGAGAATCACCTTCCTTCTACGACAGTCCAACTCTGAAAAGGTTGATGAAGGTTCCATTTTACTATACGTATTTCCTGTGACATACATTAATAGAGACCTACTGCCAACTGTTCCTTGGAAGCCATTCACAGGACTTTATGGAATTAACTAACATGAGCCAGTGCTATATATCCTTACTCATTAGTACAGCACTCTGATGTGACAAGGTAGATAAGTGTAATCAGAATACTTGGACCTCAAAAACATCAGAAGTCCCAGACAGAACTGTATGTTAAACAGCAAGCTTGAAATAAAATATGTCATTCTTTGGAATCAACAGCGACTTCCCTTTTACCATCAACAGCTGTTTAAAGAACACTCAACATACCAATTCTGGAGTCCAATTCTGGGCTCCCCAGTCCAAGAGAGACATGGCACTCCTGGAGAGAGTCCAGCGGAGGGCTCCTAAGGTGATTAGAGGGCTGGAGCACCTCTCCTATGAACAAAGGCTGCGAGAGCTGGGCCTGTTCAGCCTGGAGAAGAGAAGACTGAGAGGCGATCTCATCAACGTGTACAAGTATCGGAGGGGGGAGTGTCAAGGGGATGAGGCCAGCCTCTTCTCCGTGGTGCCCAGCAACAGGACAAGAGGCAACGGGCACAAACTGAACCACAGGAAGTTCCATCTGAACCTGAGAAAAAAACTTCTTTACTGTGAGGGTGACAGAGCACTGGCACAGGTTGCCCAGAGAGGTGGTGGAGTCTCCTTCGCTGGAGATATTCAAAATCCGTCTGGATGTGATCCTGGGCAATATGCTCTAGGTGACCCTGCTTGAACAGGGAGGTTAGACTAGATGATCTCCAGAGGTCCCTTCCAACCTCAACCGTTCTGTGATTCTGTGATACCCAGGCAACTATTTGGCACATTCAGAAAGATGAACTACCTTGGAAATCTTGCCTAATCCATTCCTAGTGCCTTTCTGCAACTTTTATTCTGCACTGTGTCCCACTGCAGACAGTATGAGTTAAAACATCAAAGTCAGGAAAAGTACTACCTCACCAAAACTGGGAGACCAAATGCAGTTTAGCTTAGTGCTGCAATGGCAGGCCAATTACCTAAGAAAAAAGTCGCTGGAACAGGAGCTGGACTTTTCCTCTTCCATAGATGAATCTAATGTTTCAGGCAACGCGCTGCCAAGAGGAATCTGTCACAGGAAGAGGACCAGTACAGTACTGTCTGAATCAATAAAGCTGTATCTGACCTTGTCAGATTCCAAGTATTTTGTTTTAAAAAAAAAATATTTGAAAAAAGTGAACTGAATCCTGTACTTTTCTCACTATCTGCATCATAGAAGACTTGCAAGACCCTAAAATTACTTTGTTCCCTTACTGCTTCCTGCTCCTCAGATCAGACTAGGCAAAATCCTTTTGCCAAAGTTCTCTGCCAGTCCTGAGATCACATTGACCAACCACACTGAATCCATCTGCTGACCTGATATCTCTTGCTATAGTCATCTTCTCCCTAGAATCATAAGCATAAGCATGTCTAGATAAACAGGGGGTCAATCCTGTCCAAAGTGCTCAGCAGCTCTGGAAAACAATCAGATTCAACAAACAAACAATAAACTTACTCTCCCACCCATATGCTTGAGCTAGCTTCTTCCTCTTCTTCCACTCTATTCCCATTCTATTCTCTTCTTCCCACTCTATTTCTTAGCTACTTCAAACTGACAATAAGAGCAGCAGCAGCCGCCGCTGCCACTTCGTGCTGCCTTTACCATAAATGCTGGAACAGTTCTCCTAAGAAAATGAGGCTTATGCGATAACACTGCCTGTGTATGCACTTTATGCCTCCTCAGCAACTAGTGAACTTTTTGTCCAGCAAACAAGTGAACTTCCAGCACTTTGGTGAAGAAGGCAGAGAGGTTTCAAAGATACTAAATTTCTATAAGTTTAATCAAAATATGTAGGAAATATGCAAGTGAAGGAGAGAGAATTTCTTAGTGTCCAAGCAAGAAAAACGCTGAGGTGGAAGTTTCATGCTCATTTGATCACAGCAAATCTACATGAGAAGGATATGCTCTTGACAGAGGTTTTAAACATCACCAATTAATTCCTCTGTTATATGAACCCAAGTTTTTCCAGAATTTGCAAAACCAGACTGGAAAATCTATTCTGAGGCTGAATGGGTTGCTGCTGGAAGATGTGCTAATTCAATCTGACAAGCGTTTTAAAGGCTTGCTGATTCACTAAAGCACTTACATGCTGCATGCCCTATGCAGTTTGAATTAGCCGTCATGGTGGTTAGACCCCTGTTAAGATAACATCTGACCCTTCTCCTTAACTTTTGTGGTTTAGAAGCATTTATCATGAACTAAACTATGGTGATGCCTTCCAGTGCCATGATAATTAAGATTTGCCCAGTACTGGCCTATAAAACCCCCTATTCTCCATTAATTTATAACTCTGTTGTGAACATTCTCTGGCATTTAAAGCTTAATCAGCAAAGATAATGCGACCATCAAAATCTGCTCAGCCTTTTCTTTGGAACAAGGGAGAGGTGAAATATTCACAAGTCCAGAAGCACAGCACCATACTACATATTAAACGCAGTCTTTCATAAACAACATTGGTGATCTCTAGGCAATTGGTGTCTGATGTTACCCCAAGTTTTCTACCTCAAAGCTTACTGTAGGCTGTGCATCATTTATAACAGAGTGCAAAGCACTGAGTTCTACTCTATAACATGGCAATTACCAACAGTAAAAAAGACAGAGACTGAGGCTATCACTGGCACAAAGAGCAACCCCTACTACTCCACACAGCTGTCCTCTCTCCTGGACAAACTTCCCACTGTCCCTTCATACTCATCAGACCTGGGCAAAACAACCAAAAAAGACAGTTTGGTTTCTTCCTAATTTATGTTTACTCACCACATCTGTTACCCACATGCACCTGTCCTACACCACATGATTCCTGTGGCTCTGGTAGCTTGAAGGACTTTCTTGCCACTTCATGGTCCAAGCCAGAGATGCGAACACGGAAGTGGTCCCTGCTGACTGTCTTCCGTAAAGTTCGAATGGTTTTACGGAACCTCTTTTCAGTCTTTTTTCGTGCACAGCGCACATCACACGTATCTGAAAAGTATCAAGGGTGAAAGCTGCTGTAACTGACCATGCACAAAAATCCACCTGACCGAAAAGGCCAGCCAGTGCGTATCACTGAGAAGGCAACTTCTGTGAAGAAAGTCTGAAATCCTTAAGGACAACACCAGCAGGCCAGAAGAAAATTAATCAGATCAGAAGCCTTTAATCCATGGGCATCTCTTTGATCTTAGAAACTATCACCATCCTTTACTCTTTTTGAAGCAGAAAAATTAGTTTTCAAAACAGGAGATACTTTTTATTATTATTTTGCATAAAGATAGAAGTGAAAAATACAGAAACTGAGGAGTAAACTGTAAGAAGCTTCAAACTCCATCTTGTGTTATTTTCCAACCAACCTGTCACCTCCTTATGGCTTGTTTCAAGCTCAAAGTCCACAGTGATAAAAATTTCTCTAGTCGCTGGCAGTCTACTGAAGGGTCCATGAACTTTCTTGTCAGAGCTGCATGTTAGATTTACATAGTGGAAGCTCTCCATTACTGAATTATGTCTCTCTGTATGAACAAAATTAAAGGAAGCAAAAGCTTGGCCAGCTATATTACTGGACATTCACTAGCGCTCAAAGTATATTTTGTTTTAAAAACTGCAAGGGGAGCAAACGACTAACTCCAGACGCCAGTGAACAAAAAATTTAGACAGCTTCTTAACTGGCATACCCTCATGTAGAATCATTGATTTCAGCACACCTACAGATGTTCTGTCCGGCTGAGGCACTGGCTGCACCAGGTCTAAGGCATGACTCACTGCAAGGATTAGAGCTTAGCTGTAGTGCTTAGCCCTCTTCCCCTGGGTTTTGCTAGCAGAGTTCCAACAAACTGCCTTGGCACTATGCAAAGCATCTTAAAACCATGACTCTGCCTGCACCAAGCAGGCTACTCGAGGGAAAAAATTTTGCACTCAGATGAAGCATGTGAAAAACATGCCAGCTTATAATGGTGCATAAAGTAAGTAGTGCTTGCACACACAGGACATTTGGAGACTATTGTCAAGGTCTGCATAAGGAAACAAGATTTAGTTAATGAAAACATCCAGAATAAGCTTTGGTTCTGGAATACATATTCTTCACTGAGCATCTAGCATAGTTTATCACTATTACTCTTTTAAGGACAAACAAACTGACATGCAGATTCCTCTTATTATTTAGTAATTTTTTTAAAGTGTGCTCCTCCTCATTTTCTGCTGACTTTGTAAGTTCCCAGACTATACTTTCTGTCTTGAAACAGATGGAAGAGCTGACCTCACTGTGTCCATCTGGAGCTGCTGAAGTATACGAAGAGGAGAAAAGAAAAGAGGAATGATACTTTGGCACCACAGTCAGCATAAGAAAAGAGGCCGGAAGCTTTTTCACTGAGGCATCAGACAGTAAGAAATAGAGGAGAAAGAAAAGAAGAGGGAGAGAAAGAAGGGGTACGGAGAGAAAAGAAGTAAATCAAAAGAACGAAAAGCATGCCTGATTTTACTCAGAATACACTTTACTGGAAGTGGTACAAACAAAAAAGGAGAAAGACTTTCCTAGCAAGATTTCCCCATATGAGCAACCTCTACAGTTGTCACAGGGAAGTCCTTCCATCCTAAACAGCTATTGCTAGAACTAAGGCTGGTAAGGAGCATGGTTCATGAGGTCAGTAAAGAGCAGAAAGTTTGCAGCCCTCTAATGCTTTGCCTATGGTGCACTTCTTACCAGGAAAGCACTTAACCCCTGAGCTATGACTCTAACCTGCTTACCTGCATTTTTATATTCATACCTGGTATCATCTGTTCCAGACCTTCTTGAAACATCTCAGTCTTTTTCAAACTACATTTTCCTTCATTTAACTTAAAGGTTACACTTATCTTGATGGCTGAGGCATCTTCAGGAAGAAATAATGGCATGTTATTTTCAAAAATTACTAGAAAAGTTGGATAACCTTAATGTCACATCATAATGATGACTTCAAAAAAATGCTGATATAAACTGAAAAGTGGTAATCACAGGAGACCTAAAGAGATGCCAGCTTCTTTCTGCTGTGAAGCTGGCTCACAACTGGAATTGGAACAAAGTGTGATTTTGTTTTTTTTTAATTGAGATCAAGCCCAGATCTGCTACTGGGTAAATCGAATAAAGGTTGGCTGAAATCAAAGGAAATACTTTAAATCAAACAGCTTAGGAACTGATTTATTTTTATACAAAATAGTACCTTTTATCCATTCAATTTCAAATGCTTTCTAAACTTTGCTGTCCAACAGCTCAACCTATATATACACATTGTTTGTTGCCAATGCTGTCAAATTTGCGTGTCTAAGAACAGGCATGATACTCCAGACCCAACTGTTCGTTTCATCACTGATGCTTTTCACTTTTCTTATTTTTAAGTCTTAGCTGAGGTGATGCTGATGAAGCAATAAAAGGAATATTGGAATTTCCTGCTGTAATCATGAATTTTATTCAGTCACTTACAAAAGAAGAGGGACAAAAACAGAGCGAGCAACATAGCGAGGGAAAACACAAAGAAAGTTAACAGTACACCCCTTTCTCTCAGTGATCTTTTAAAAGAAATCAGTCAAATCATGCAACAGGTAAATCTAGTAATTACCCAGCCAAGTGGATGCATTTGTATTTTGCTGCTTTTTCTTAATCTGAGAAGAGTTGCCACAGGTGAGGGTGTAGGCATCTTGTGTTCCTAACAGACAGACCATACAGACAGTGAAGACACAGGCTCTATGCATAGACTGAAGACCCCTATGGTATAGAAGACATTTTTAATTTTCTGATCTGCATCATCGTCTTCACGTTTTTCCGGTTATGATACCCATAAAATACGTCAGCTTAGTTTGTCTCTTCCTAAGCAAGTAAAGGGTTCAGGAAGAAAAGCAGCATGTGTCCCACAATCACGGGCCAAGCCTGCGAGCTGTGTCCTGCCCCTGCGGAGGAGCTGTTCAGGCAGAAGCTCGGACCCCACGCAGGGCTGGAATGCCTTCACGCCATTCAGCAGCAGGTCTTGGGGCCAATTAAAGAATGGCCCAGGGAGCACAGAGAATTCTGCCTTGTCCCCTCCAGCTTAAAAAGGACAGTTGTCATGAGAAGGGAATCTGAGGGTAGAGAGGTTATAAAAGACAGGGAAAGGGGGGCTTCTTGGGACACTGACAGGGATATCGCTCTTCATCTGTAGTGAAAGAGGAAGGGTCCCTGTTGATTGTCTATTTCTTGGGGCTTCCATGAGGGTTAGGAGGTTTGCTACTCTTGCACTCTCTACAGAATCATATGCTTGTTTTTGGTTTTTTTTGACTTACCAGAAACTACCTGGACATCCGAAGAGCAGCTTAAGAAGCATCTATCACTCCCACCACTCTTAATGCAGTGCAGCAATACCTTGGGTGACACATTATCAGGCAGGGGCTCCTTTATCTCTAAACAGGATAAAACAAACACTCACGGGAAAAGTAAAACATCTGCATACACCCTACCAAGAGATGGATGTGCAGCTGCTTATATAGCTGGTATCAGAGAGAACCCATGCAATTCTGTATAGAATCAATTCTATATAGAGAAAAAAGGGAAGGCAGAACAAAAATCACAGGATGGTCACACAACATAAGTAATTTCCTTTCAGGAAAAGCTATTATCAGCAAACTTTCTCTTGCAGGGAAGCAAAAAGAAATAGGAAAAGTGAGCTAGATAAAAGCACAGGAAAGAAAGCACAGACCCTCAAAGTATCTCCTGTTTTTGTTTTTTTAAACCAGTTTCAACATCAGTACCATCATGCCTGATTAAAAAGTAAAGCAGAATACAGGGAATGATGATCCATGCCACTTCACTAGAGAGCTCAAGAGTTTCAGATTTGACTATAACTGCATGGCTGTCAGATACATCAGGAGTAGAAACATATACTTGCTAGGCACCTTACCAACGCAATCCTTTTTATTCCAATGTAATTTGTAGTTAGAGTGACACAGGCATTCATAATCTCCCGCTGTGTTCACACATATCTGTTGGCAACCACCATTGTTGACGCTACATTCATTAATATCTATAGAAGAAAGGTAAAAATACTTTTAAAAAAGTAATTCTTGCTGCAGTTCTGCATTCCAGTAAAAAAAACACTGGATAATCACGTACACAAATGCTGCTTAGTGTGGCTTGGAAAAGATTCTGGGAATGCTATCTGGAAACCCACCTTGAAATAGCTATGTTTTCATGGAAATCCTTTGCTAAATGTCAAAACGGATCAAATGTTGTAGGAGGGTAGCTGTTAGGTATGTCCTTAATTCACATATTAAAAAAAGATCCAGTAATTGTAACACCATTTTACCACAACACAATATATTCTTTTGGCGAACTCTTGCTTGCTGATGCAGAATATACCTGACATCGTGGCACCCCGAACTCTGCTGTAACAGAATTAAATAGGCAGTTCCCTCCCTTACTACTTCTAGGAAGCCTTTAGGACCTTTGGCTGAATTTCTGGGCTAAAAGGGTTGTAATCAGCAGCACAAAGTTCAGATGGGGGCCAGTCCCTAGTGGTGTACCCCTGGGGACAATACTGGGGCCAATGCTATTTAACATTTTCATTAACACCTAGATGATGGGACAGAGTGCACCCTCAACAAGTCTGCAGATGATACAAAATGGGGAGGAGTAGCTGATAACCAGATGATTGTGCTGCCATTCAGAAGGACCTCGATAGACTGGAGAAATGGGTAAAGAGGAACTTCATGAAGTTCAGGAAAGAGAAATGCAGAGTCCTGCCCCTAGAGAGAAATAACACCAAGCACCAGTATAGGCTGGGGGCTGACTGCCTGGAAAAAAGCTTTGCAGAAAAAGGGCCTGGGAGTGCTGGTGGACAGCAAGTCAACCATGAGCTAGAAATCCAGACAAGAAGGCCAACAGCCTCGTGGGCAGCATGAAGAAGAGTGTTGCCAGCAGGTCAAGGGAGGTGACCCTTCCCCTCTACCCAGCACTTGTGGGGCCACATCTGGAGTGCTGTGTCCAGTGCTGGGCTCCCCAGGACAAGAAAGACATGGACATACTGGAGTGAGTCCAGCAAAGGGCCATGAAAATGATTAAGGCTTGGAACTTTTGACATATGAGGAGAGGCTGAAAGAGCTACGATTGCTTAGCCTGGAAAAGAGGAGGTTCAGGGGGATCCTATCAATGCGTATAAATACCTGATGAAAGGACTGAAAAAGACTGAGCCAGACTCTTCTCAGTGATATCCAATGAAAGGATAAGACATAATGGGCACAAATTGAAATAGAGAAAATTCCATTTAAACATAAGAAAAAAACTTTCTGACTGTGAAGGTGATCAAACACTGGCACAGGCTGCCCAGAGAGGCTGTGGAACCTCCATCCTTGGAGATATTCAAAAGGCAACTGGATATAGCCCTGAGCAACCTGCTCTAGTCAGCCAGCCCTGCTTTGAGCAGGGGTTTGGACTAGACGATCTCCAGAAGTCCCTTCCAACCTCAGTGATTCTGTGACTTCGGTACTTTCGTGTCTCTGCTTCTCAGGTCCACCCTGATGACTGCTTCCCTTGCCCCTGATAGCTTTATGGTAATTGTACGTGAACCTACAAAGCTGCCGCCATGGAATGCCTTGTGAGTCCCAATGAGTCCCAGGAAGCTTGTGTAACTGAGCTTCTACAAACTCTTTTCTCAGTGCGAATTCTTATCACTGCTCTTCCCAGTTCTTATCACTGGTCTTCATCTCTTCCCTGCTCTAGAGAGGCAATCATTTAGTAGAAAATGCTGTGAACCAGATTATGAAACTGACTTGATTTCAGAAATAAAACATGCTACTAACAACTGAAACAGCAAGGGCAGGAACAAGCAGCAGAGGAATGAAGGAGAAAGAAGAGAATGTCTTAAACTGGTACTGCTGCCTAAGACAGCACAAAATCAAACTAAATCTTTGGATTTGATTGACCTTTTGGTAGGATGTTGCGAGCAATAGCATCCTACTGTCTCCTGTGCTTATTGCCTTCTTGCATATAAGTCAGAACATATATACTCAGTACACCTACCAGCTCTGACACAGTCTATGATTGCCAGTAAATGAAGGACTTTCTGTGGTACAAGGATTAACACCTTCTGCACAGCAGTATAATATGAGGAGGAGGACTGGTACCCAAGCAAAAAATCGCAGTCCTGTCCTTCATTAGTGGCCAAAAGAAGTGGAATTAACACAGAGAAATTCATGAGGAAAGACTTATTTTGGCAATTAGAACATGTCAACAGTGTTACTCCCTATCCAATCAAACAAGTTTCCCTGTTCACCAGGATAAAACACAGTGAAGTTGTATCCCTGTAATCTTCTTTGCAGCTTCTCCAGAGGCAGAGGTTAGAACGGATCAGGCACACAGAGACCTTTGTATTCTTATCTCCAGGACTGCTCATTCTACCTCAAAATAAAATAAGCATATGTAGTCAGTAAGGTCTTGCCTGGGGCTTATGTAACAGATTTATTTCCATTCCACACTTGACACACATTCAGCTTCATATCAACATCTTCCTCTCTTTCGTTGAACTTCTTTTGTAAGAGAGAAGTAAAACAGTTAGGACTAAGATTCTTGGCCAGTGTAAATCAGCCTTACTACATCAATTAAATATCAATGACATCGCATGAGAATTTGACATCTGCAAAAGAACCACCTGCAAAAGAGTAATTCTCTAAGTCACCAAGAGCGTTCTGTTATTAAAACCTTATTCCACTGACTTTTCACTGAAGTTGAGACTTTTCATGTGAAAAATCTGTCAAATTATGGCATTTAAACCTAGGTGCAGAATGCAACCATCTGTTCTAATAGTCACAGGAACTTTCTGATGCAGGGATGGAAGGGCAAATCATCTCAGCAAAGACTTTTCACTTTTGCTGTGTCCCCCTTACCATGGCAAAGAGTAACATTTACTGTATATGCCTACTGTACATGGATAGACATATGTGTTGCCCAGACACTAATTAGACCTGCAGCAGTAGCACTCTACTAGCACGGCCTGTAGTATCTTTTTAGCTCACCTCCACAATGCGTGAAGCCATAGAGGGCGTATCCTTTGTTACAAGTACATTCAAAGGTGCCTGGATGATTGATGCACGTGTGGTCGCATGTCCGTTCAAAAGAACATTCATCAATATCTGCAAGTGATAAAGGGATACATTAGTATCTTTTGGCCTGTCAAGGCAATACTTGCCAGCTAGTGAAGCTGGATGCAGAGATGTGCAGATTTATGTAAACTAAGCAAATAGTCTAACATAATGAAACAACTTTTAAAAGAACATTTAGTTTGCTAGACAAGCTTTTTCTTGGTAAACATGAAAACTGCTGTTATATTTTTAATGATTATGTTTAAAATAAATTCTTTCTGTTCTTTGGTGAAAAAAACGTGCCAGCAGAAACTCTTACTTCTTTAAGCAATGTCCAGGTAAGGTCTGCAGGAAATAGATTTACCAAAAAAAATCCTGCCTTTGTTTTTTCCCATCAGTGAAAATATGGTGCCAAATTTTTAACCCTACAGTAATATGCAGGGCCTGATGTAGGTCTGCTGAAAATCACTTACTTCTGAGACACATCTGAAGACAGAGGACTGAAATGATTTGGTGATTTTTTTTTTCATGGATCCCTTATATTGCATATTTAGATTTTAATGTTGATGTCTAAAACCTGCTATCTATTTTCCCTAGTGAAAATTTTCTTTGGCATTATAATCATTTTGCATGTATCTTTTTTGTAAAGTATAGTTAGTACAACAAACTAAACACGGTCTCAGCAAACTGAATGGTAAAATGATAAAATTCCCATTACTATCTCAGGCCCCAAATCTTTATTACACCATCTAAAGTGTCTAAATTTCCATGACAGTACATTAAGCATGCTATATAAGAATGTTCCCAGATAAAGAAAAATTCCTATCAACATCATTGAGGTTTTTGTTTTGTTTTGTTTTTTTAAGATTCAGGCCCACTTCAAGACACCACTTGGAAAGCAATCTAGGGAAAGTGACAGAATAGAGACAAAAGGAGGGGGTGTAAATCTTTAAAAGAAATTAATAAGCAATTTCCATATAAAAATCTTGAAAATCCCATGCTTCTATAGTGAGTTTGCTTTCTATATGTATTTGTTCTTCTAAGTCTGATCTAAAAAGGATGAGAAAGCAACAAACACCAGGGTACAATTTTTTCTTTGGTAGTCAGTTTTCTGAAATTTTCTGAAATTCATCACTAAATGTCAGCTGGCTGTCTAGGAAATTCACTTGCCCAAGTGACTGACCAGCTTTACATTGTTACATACTGTAGCTTTGACAAAACCACAAAGATCATTGCGATAATTAGTTTTTAATGTATTTAAACAGCCAAAACAGGTTTGCTCACTCTATACGTACAAATCATTATATAGAAAACCAAAAACGCTTTGCAAATCTCATGGGGAAATCCATGTCATCTTAAAAATCAAATGTTTCTATAGTGTTTTAGGGAATAGTGAATCCAGTCTATGCCCACAGGCCTATGATTTCATAGATCACATGATATTGCTTTTTTTTTTTTAATAATGAATCTATATCATTTAAATGTCCCTTTAAGAAAAGAATAATCTCACTGCAAATGCTGAACTAGTCAATAAGATAGAGAGATATTGTCTTTATTTCTCCCTATAAATTATTTTTGGATCATTAATAGATGGAAAAAAATGTGTCATCCTCATAAAGAGCTTTCTAACACAATGCTATCTGTATTGCCTCCAGATAGTAGTTCACTGTGCCATTAAACATATCTCGTACCATAGTATCAAGCCAACTGAATTTACTCAGCAGCTGCTATAGAAAGAAAAAATCTGATGCATAGAAATTATTCTGGAGTCCATTATCACTTCATCATTATAGTAGGTGTCCAAGCCAAGCTGATTTGTCCTACTTTTATTGACTCCCCAGTGCACATACCTTGACAAGATTTCTCATCTGTTAATAATTTAAATCCTTTTCTGCAGCTGCAATCAAAACTGCCTACAGTGTTTTTACAGAAATGATCGCAGCCTCCATTATTGGACTGGCATTCATCAATATCTGTAACAAAAGAAGAATTTCAGCAAGTAAACAGAGTATATTCAACATAGTTTCATTGCCAGATCCAGAAGACAGTCACATCCAACTGGTTGGAGAAACAAAATCAAGCAAAACAACTGCAAATCTTGAGAAGGTTCGGATCCAGCTCCAAGAATGACCTTGCCCATTCAGCCCCATGACAGTGTTATTTGCTTTCATTTAACATATCGCTATCAATTACATTTGGGCACATGTATTCATAGAAGAACACCTCCCTAAATTCTGCTTGAAAATATGTTGACATAAATGCTCCCTAAAAGGTTTTAGCTTTTTAAAAATCATCTTGCAGTCTCCTCTTCCTAAGCTCTGCAGAAATCTCAGACAGAGGAGACTTTTTGAGCCACTCTGTCCTTTCCTCACCAACACTGGACCGAGCTCTTTGTCTAATTCTAATTAAGTCAGACATGGGAATTCCAGCATTCTTGCCTGGCAGAACAGTCTAACATCTAATTATCGGAAAATTTTCTATCATACCACCTAAAAGTCCCTTTGCTCATTTCCAGCGCTCTAATTATCCTTAGAGCTGCTTAGACCAGCATAAACAATTCTACTTATACTTCCTGGTGTACACTTTCATGTTCACTTACAACTTTTTATAATACCCAGTTGACTGTGGGTGATATACAGATTATAGGACTGTATGCCTATAAAGACCTATATGCCTACATCTCCCAACACTCACCTCTACCATACCACAGATCTGTATTTCCGCCTCCCACCCATCTCCCAAAAATGAGGCCATCTTGGTGAGAAGGGGGGAAAAACTGGGAAGAGGCAGAACAGCAGAGATGCTCTGCATACGATGCATTTGACACAGTGGAATGTCCTTACAAGGAAACTATGCATCTTCGCCCGGCTGCAGTGCTTTCTTATATCTAATTTCACATACCAGCTTTTCTCAGGACCCTGGGTTACTTTCACTTGGAGATAAGTACATTACAGCAAGGTGTTGGTATGCACATGTCCACAAGTACAAAACTCACCTTTACATGTCTTCCCATCAAACTGGAGTGTAAATCCAACAGGACAGCTGCAGTGAACTCCGGTCGATGTATCTTTACACGTACGATCACAGCCACCATTATTCACTGCACATGTTTCTAGCAGACAAAATAAAGCTAAAGTTTGCTCAGAGATATTATAAGGGAAACAAGAAATATCATGTGATACAAGGCATGGTTCCAGGCACACTGATATTTGGCAACACTTAGCCTAGTACACATGAGCAACTACTAAATACATGTGTTGGCAAAATCCCTCCCTCAGCTATTTCCAGTTTTTTGTGGAGGCTTTATAGACTTGCACATTGCCTCGGGATATCCTTGCCCTTAAATGCAAATTAAACTCCCACCTCCTCGATAATGAATCTGTTCCTGTCAGTCTATCCCTTTACGCCCACACTCAGTCCTGGCCTGTTCTTCTGACACTTCCTACCAATGCTTGAACACCTGGTTACACTCAGCATTACTAAACTAGATATCTTAAATTCCGCCCTACCCACCATCACTTGCTACCTGTGCTCTCAGTCACTGTGGATCACGCCAACACTGGGTCATCCTTCAGGCTTGTAGCCCAGGTGCCATCTTAAATCTGAACATTCCTTTAACTCCCTGTATGCAAACTATGTCTAAATCCTGCCAAACCCCTCCAGAGAATACCTCTAAAATGCAGCCCTTCCGATCCAACTGAATAACTCACACTTTGGCACTCATCCTCTTGTGCCTCAGTCAAACAACCTTTTCCCTGGCTGGACAAATGCAACTTTATCCAGCACATATTGATTCTGAAAATCGCTATAAAGATCATTTTCTTTTTTTTTCTTTTTTTTTTTTTAATTCTCTCTTTGCACCTCTCTTTTGTTCTCTTGTTCTCTGCTGCATCAAGTATATGCTACTTATTCTCAATTTCTGAGACTTTTACTGGTTTATTCCCCCTCTTCTCTATCATCTCTTGTTCCATATTGGGAGACTGCATGCAACCTCCACTTGAAGACAGAGTGCCTCAACTTTCTTCTTTTTCCCATAGAAACTTAATACTCTTGAATATGAGGCTATTGATTTAGGTGTCTTAATATGGATTTAGCAGCCCAGTGCGAGGGCTGTACTTTTGGCATTCTCTTCCTCAGCCTCCATGAACTTTGTCCCTTCTGCAGCCATTACCAACAAGCACAGTAAGTCACTCTGACTACTCGGAGTAAGGGCTTTTGAGAGAAAGACATCCACTGACCAAGCTGCCCTGAGAGCACTGTGAGCTGCGTCTCATGAAAGTGTTTTCCCAGTAGTAACAGACCCTCAGAGGCTGGCATTCTGGACCAGATGTGAACATCTCAGTGAAGAACGAAATGGCCATGTTCCCTAATATGCCCTTCCAGATGCAACCACTCACTGGGCCCAGTTCTTCTCTTCCATGCAGAAGTATACTTTCAACTGAAGAGAAGCAGCTAAAACACTGCATCTCTCACCATCACTTGGCCAAAGCAGGAGTTGAGAAGGGTTGGGTTCCCCAGATGAAGTAGAAGCATGGAAACACATGACATTTTGAAAGCAAGCTCCCAACACTTTGCACTGACAATCACAAACCATGTATATGGCTTCTTATACATCATAGAATAATATTTCTTCCTTTAAAGGAAATGGAGCAACTCCCAGGCAGAATTCAGCCCAGAGCTATGAAGGTTATATTAAAAACAATTATTCAATACAAAAGGTTTTAGTAAAAAGCAAAATTATTTCAGATAGGCACTTTTACCCATGAGCAATCGTCGCTTTACCCTCTTGTCCACATCGGCTCCTGCTGTAGTGTTTCCCTCAGAAGTTTCAAGAGCAGCCTCCTCCCTCTCTGTAAGGAACATGGAGAAAGCAAGTGAGTAAAGACGCCCTGACCAGAAACCTCATCTGATATCCAGGGAAGAAAAGGGAGGAGATGGGAGAAAAAGGAGCAAGAAAACCCTTCAGTCAAATCCTTCAGTCAAAACCATGAGAATATTTTGCTATCATTTGCTTCCTAACAACTCATATGTTTGCTTCAGTATTCTTAAGCTTGACAAAATAGAAAGTGTACTACGGATGTGGTGAACAGTAGCAAGATGAAAGAACTAATTGAGTTGTCATGAATTGCTATGTAAGAGCACGCTGTCATCATCTATCACAAACTAATGCAAGGACTGGCCAGTCATGCCCGAGCATTTAATTTCCATCAGCAGGCAACAAACTCTTCCAGAGACGGGAAGACTTACAGATCTTAAGTTTTTTCTTTACTGGATAACTACCTTGCAAAAATTATACATTAATTGAATTCAAAGACCTGAGTTTAACATAAGCAGTCTCTAGCCTGGGTTATACAAACAGCTCATTCTAAAATATCCTAGAGGAGAAGGGAATATTCTTCGATTAGTGACAGGCCTGCTGGTACTTCAGAGAGACTAGCACTAAATACAGACAACAGGAGCACTAGGTAGCTACTTATATAGGGAAAAATTTTTCCTTCATGGCCAGAGCCTTAGCACAGCTCAAGCAGACAGACAGCAGTCCCTAAGGGCAGCCTGGGGCTCTCCTGCTGTAAAGGTTTCTCAGATTAACGCAACCAGCTGTCCCCCTGCTGCAAGCCTTTTTAATGCCTGGTTCTCTTTTGCATGCTGTGGACTGGCCCAGCCAGTCAACAAAACAGTTCCCACAGTCTTCGTTTCTGGAGATGGTGACAGGAGCCAAAGCACAGTCTTGGCTCCCTCAGCTCAGAGGGTACAGCAACATGACCAGAGTCACCTTTTTTCTGCTCTGACATCCTATGGCAAGCACAAGTTGCCTGGACCCAACAAACTCACTTGTGCTCAAGCAGGTTTCTTCTAGGTTCCTTGATGTTTCCTGCTGGTACTATTAAGAGGAGTATCAATCGTTCATACATAGCAATGCCACAACACTCTAGTCATCTAGTACTTCTCTTCACTATATACTGACCCAGGCAGGTTTTCCCATCCACATGCATGATGTACTTGGGGTGACATCCACAAATAGGTCCATTATCAGCATCATCACATGTATGTTGACAGCCACCATTTCCATGATTACATGTTACTAGGAAGAAAATATATGATACATCTCGCAAGTACTTCCAGCATGACCATGACCAACTTTGTCCCTGTATGGCCATCCAACACACCTTCCTAACATGCCCCGTTCCCTCAAGGACTCTATGGGACTGAAACAGCACAGAGCTCTCTTGTGGAGCTGAACTTCCTGCAATCACGAATCACAGTGAGGCTCCCAAACTACAGATATTTTTGCAACCAATAGATTGGTGTGCCAGTGTCCTGCAAAGCCACTGATTCTGGTTTAATTTAGATGTACACAGTTTAGGCATGTCATCCCAGTTTAACTATAGCGTACCAAATCCCATATCACTGCAAACAGAACACTTTGTTTAGTATGGGAAACTATAAGAATACGCAGAACGTTGCATACAAATGCAGCTCCTCTGGTTCTTGGACAGCTCAAATCCCGGTCGGCATTCACAGGCAACCCCTCCTTTGGGCGTTTCTCTGCAGATGTGGGCACAGCCATGATCTTTATTCATGCAGCTCATACCTTCTGCAAAACAGGACAAGTGCAAGAGCATCAGCATCCTCAGCATCTCTGTGTGCAGGCAGCGGCCAGATAAAAATACACACACAGCAAACATCCTGTTACTTCTGGGAAGGCTCTACAGTGTTAGGACGAGAAGTATCAGCTGACAGACAGGAAATGCAGAAAGTCCAGTCCTGCAAAGCCAGTGCCCCCTCACACCTTGCCAGCTCTGATCTTTTATGTTCTCATGTCCTTTGATTGCAAGGTCAAAACATAACATGCCTAGATTTGTACAGCACCCGCATGCTCACCTGGTCTTCTCAATTAATAATATCACTCTTAATAAAACCTCCTGATTCCTTTTACAATAACTGCAAGGTGGCTGACAGCTGGCAAGATCAAAGGCTAAAGTGAAGTTCTTAACTCTCTGCTTAAAAGAGCTGCCACCAGGCACAGCAACGCCGAGGCCAGGGACACAAAAATCACCCCCATTTCAATTACTGGCCTATAGAGCAGATTCCCAGAGCTGTAACTGCCCCAGCAGTGACCAAATGACCAGGCAGACATGCAGGTTGTACTTATGCTGTATCTCAACTTTCTTTTGTGTGTACCGTTTTGTTTTCATTTTTTCCAATTTCAACAAATTTCTCAAAATAACGCCTCTGGGGATTATCACACTTTTCCGTATCTCTGCATGTCTCTCTAGTTGGATAGAGTTTAGTACAAGCCAATGCTTACTGAAACTAAAAAAAATAGCAGTGTGACACTAGTGATTTTCCTCCTTTTGGCTCACCTCATAAAAGCATCTTGTCATTTTGGTCTACGAGAGTTACAAGCCCTTCACACACCAGCACTCAATTACTTTCACAGTGTCTTGTTTGGCCTTGCAAAACGTTAGAGCCAGCTAAGCAGAGAGAAAGTGTTCCTACAATTATAGTAAAAGTCCGCTTCACCTTGCCCAGTGGTTCAGCTAAATCAATGCCTTGGCCATTGGCAAGATCATAGCACACTTTGTACGCGCAAATCTTAAAACTACGGAGCAACTGGCTGAATTATCAAACTGGATCATTAGGCCAAAATAAAAGAATAGTTTTCCTTCTAATTGTAGACCAAGGTACACTTCAAATTCTTGCTGAAACCTTCCATATTGCTACAAAATTGGGAAAGAAGAGAAGGAGACCTGAATGCTCTCCTCAGGCATATTGAGGGCACACCTTTACCATCAAACGCATCCAGGCTGAGCATTTGGCTTTTACAGGACAACATGTGACACCAAAACGCGCTTTCTTCTTGGCAAGAACGCTTAACCTGAGTAGACTCAGATTCGGTGTACTTAGGCTACAAGGGTTTAACCCACTGAAGGTCTGATCCTGCGTTCACTGAATTAACTTCTACTGAAGAAAAGCAGGAGCAGGATCAGACAGAGGACGAACAGGGCGACACGCTGCTAAAAATGGACTACATGAACAATCCCACACCCTATATGTTTTTAAAACATACACAGCCCCTTTTTGCAGCCCTATTACTAATTGAAGCAAAATACTATATTGGCAAGCAGAGGTCAGCTCCTCACCATTATTCCATTACACTTCATTTAGGTCCTTGTTCTGCGCCTCACTCTTCTCGCCATCCCAAGCGTGAGCTACAGTACTCTTCCTCTATTAAGGAAGCTTTAAGCAACAAAAGAATGGATGTTGCAGAGCCTAGATTATTCTGCTCTACTGGCTTTTTGATTCCTTTCCCACAGTGAGAACTGTGTAGAAGGCTAACAAGACAATGACACTTCAAACCCTGCAGCACACAGAAACAGCCCAAGAAGCCCACATGAATGCTGTCATCCATTATTGTGCTGTCAGTTAAAGAATAGGGCAACCCATGAGATCGCAAATTAGCCTTATTAACTCCTGTGTTTTCATGACATTTCTGCCCTTAAACACGCAATATGATCTGATCTGTTAACTCAGAGGTGTTAGAAGGCATTAAGAGAATTAGCAGCTTAGTTTCTGTTAACAAAGTTTTTTTTTTTTGTCTCTTTTGAGCTACCAAAGGGAAAATCGTTCAAAGCAGGTACTTTGGTGAAGTTCACTGATATCAAACAAATGGTTTAAATGCCAAATTGGGGTGTTCAGTCCTGAGAGAGCAGATTTCGATCACTGCTCCACAGAAAGCTAAAAATCCACTTTCCAAAAGAGCGCATATTGCAAGATACATGACAGAAACCATCAAAGCCTAGCTGACCCAAAAGAGAGTATTTGACGGAAGAGAGACACATCTGCATGTTCTAACATTTACTGTGAAGCTGCTGCATGTTTCTGAAGGTTGTAGAAGATTATCATCTTCCATTCAGACCCAATTTATAAGGCCGTGTTGCAGAAAAGTCAGTGCAATTGTAAACATTATGTGACTGCAAACTTCTTCACGGACAGAGGGTCTCCCAGGTCATACTGTTCCAATGGCAGATTGTGGTCCAGATCCAAACTACAAGTAAATTTTGGTCAGATTGCACCAGGCACTTCCCAGACACAGAGCTTTGGCAGGAGATCCTGCCCTGCTGACACACAAGTCCTCTGAGAAGGACGACTTCCTTCATGCAGCACTCCTAGCCAAGAGAGCAGAGTCCAGATACTGCCTGGCCTAGCAGACCCCGAGCCATGGCACTCCTTTCGGATGTCTGGGCATTTGTGAAGTTACCCACCAAATCTTGATGGGATCTGAGCATTCCTATTAGCGGTAAGACATAGGCAAAGAGCCAATAAGGTATTTTCCTATTAGGACCCAATAAATTCACCATTTATGTATATCGTCTCTGTTTACATCTTTATCTTCTTTATCCAGAAGATGTAAGGACATTGGCAACAATCTACTGAGAACATTAACTGTCCAGTTAGGGCACTTCCAGACAGGTGCTCAATAGCACAGAAGAAGAGTACGCAATTGTACAGGAGCTACCAGAGACTCTCTGAGGTGGTCCTCTGCTAGCCCAAGGTCGAGGAGTACAGCCAGCAGAGCAGGGCATCTCAGAAATGCTTTAGCCTTTTTGCATGCTTTCTACAGCCCTGCATGAAGGTAACATTTTTGCAGAAAGCTTTCTGACTACCCCTGTTTTCCTCAGGCAGAAGGGAGTTCAAGAGCAGCAGGGGGCAGAGAGGGTGCCCTGTGCACCAGTCCATGCAGTGATTTCAAATGTGGCCTTCATCTCGCAGGTCCAAATCACTCCCATTGACTCAAACCAAAAAGTAAATAGCTGTGGCTCTGTGACATATCACATGGGAGAGCGGCAATGAACAGCAACAGCAGCTGCAAGACACGCTGCATATTTAATAGTGAAAACTCCATGTGTTCTTTTAAATTTTCATACTCTCTAATATGCAGTATGTTAAACAAACATGGAAACACGCTGTATGCGTATGGCTGACCTGCTGGCCAGAGCAGCAGCCTCCCAGAATAAATCCCCCCATGCATAAAGGAAGAAAAGCTAACGGAGACCAGACAGCTAAGGAAAAATTAGGATTGTGCACAACTCCTCAAGACACACTGAGTTCACGTGGTTTAAGTAGGGGCTAGGGAGAACCATTAAACCTCCTCAGAGCATCCCTATGTTTTGGGCCAACACAATCAGACGAAGATCAACTTTAATTACTAAATTCTCCTCTAATAGCTACCTGACCTTGAGTCCCATGTCTCAGTCCTGAGATAGGTGACAAAGAACCCAGAAGATAAGAGCAGATGAACTTGGAAAGGCAGGCGAGTCTGAGGCATCCCCATTACACTGGCCACCAGGAGGAATACAACAGCCTCAAGCCTCCACACTTCTCCTATCTCAACTCCAGTTCATTCTTTGGCCGTGTATGTAAAGCTGAAAATTTCATTATTGCCTTATATTATGGGTAAGAAGTGAAACTGAATAGTTAGGTTAGGACGTAGGTACCAAATGCTGTTTAGATCGATGCTGTGAGGTCAGTAAAAGAGGACTAATAAAGGGTGTGCTCTCTGAGGGGGGGACGACATATATGTGGCAGAGGAAATGAGAAGACCTAGAGATGAGTAGAAAAGGGGAGGAGACTAAAGTGAGGGGAGAGATAGAACAATGAGATTTGGCTTACCACAGACCTGCCCACCCAAGAGAAGAAAAGATGGGGACTCCTGTGGAGCGCGAAAAGAATTGTGAAAAAAACAGTAACAGGGTAATGACCAGAAAAATATGGCTTTAAAAATAAAAACAACACTTCTGTGTTTTGGTATCAAGATAGACACATTTCAGATAAAACCAGTAAGGGTTTTTTTCTTAAAATTGGTTTCCACAAAAAAAACATTTTATTTAGTATTTCTTTGAAAAACATGCATTTGATTTCCCTCTTGCTTTTCTTTTTCAATGAAAGAATGACTAAATTAAGTGGAGATTTGGTATTATGGACAAAACTTTTTTTTGCCCAAAAGCAGAACACAGGTGAAAGTCCAAAGGGACAATTTAGGGAACAAAAAGTTAAGCTTCCACATACCTTGCTTAGGTGTTAGGTGTTAGGACAGGTGAGAAGAGAGAGAGGAGTGTTATCAAGAAGAGGTAAAAAAGAAGAAAAAAGAATTGGAAGCTTTTCCTCTCATGGCATCAGATGAGACAAGGAGTTCAAGCAATTGACTTTCACCCTTAGATTCACCATCCATACAAACATTGCTGCTAGTAAGGAAACATAAAGGGAAAAGCATTGCCCCACCATTGCAGCCTCCCCACTTTTTGCCACTCCTGGTTCAGGTCCTGCAGTAGTAAGCTGGACAATGACCTGAGAGATCACCATGTATCAGAGCAGGTCCCCAGGCGACCAAGCCCAGTACCAGAGAGGCTGAGAATACAAATTCTTAATTCAAACAGAAGATCAATTCAGCTACGTCAGATGAAAACCACCTCAGCACACTCATCTCTGGATGACCATATATGTCTATAAATGTTGATCTCTTCACCATGGGGATTTTTAAAGTGAGTTTTGTTTATTCATACTCAGATTCCTCTTACAGTCATGCCAATGATAAGCCTTAGATTAAAGAAAACTTTGCAGCTTTAAATACTTGTTAGTATGATATTCCTGGTATAGTTCAATGGACAACTCCCTGATCTGAGCAACCACTTAAAAGCATTCCCTAAGGGCCTCCAAAATAATTTTCTTCAATCTAATATCTAATTAGGCATCCAAAGCTCTCTGATCTCTCAAAGGTTGCTTCATAAAGGCTTCACTTAAAACAAAGAACAAGATTTGAATACCCTTAGGGCTGACATACAATAAATCTCCCTGCTGAAACCTAAACGGTGTATAGGGAATCTGAAAGGTACCCGACAGTACCGAAGGTTATTTCCCTGCCACTGAGGTCCATGTAAGCAGCCAGAACTCACTGTTCTGTACTGCGTCGCCATTCCCTAGATCAGAGGTTAGCCCAGCTACACAACAGAGCACAAAGTACTCTGGGAGTACAACAGTGCAGCTGTTAATAGAAGCTCAACGCTACAGATGTAAGGGTGGGATCAAAGGGGCAGGAGGGATGTGAAGAGTTTTCAAAGTCACTTAGAAGATCCAGACCCATAGTTCCTTTTAAAATGAGTGGGAACTTCAAGACCCCTCCTCATCTTTGAAAAACTCAAACTAAAAATACTTTTGAAGTTGCTTTAGAGATTTTGAGTGAGATTCTGTGAAAAAATCCTGCTTTGTACCTGGAAGAAAGCAGCCCATACCTTCTGAGCGATGAATGCAGGTGTGCTGATTATCGCTTAGGAAGAACCCTTCCTTACAGCGACATTCATAGCTCCCCACAGTGTTAACACAAACATGCTGGCAACCACCATTGTTGAACATGCATTCATCTGTATCTGAAAGAGAGAGAGAGAGAGAGAGAGAGAGAGAGAGAGGAAGAGAGATCAGCTTTATACCTGCCCCACCACAATGAAAGTCATCTCTACAAATTAACACCAAGACCTCGTATGGGCAGAGGCCGCTCAACAGGCAGAACAGACACCTACTCAGCATATTACTATCCAGGCAGCTGAGACACCCTGAGCCAGACTGCTGTTCTGCCACCCTTGGAAAAATGTATTTTTGTTGCTCCTCTTCCCCTGTTCACACAGTTTGCCAGCTCAGTCACAGGGCTCCAAGGAACTTCTGGACAATTAATCAGGAGGGTTGAGTAGCCTGGGGGGAGCCAGAAGCAGGGCAGCTTCCCTGGCTGCACCCTCCACCTAGAAGAAGGTACCTTGCTTGGCAGCTAGAGGGCATTGCCACTAAGCAAGCTAGCACGTTTATATCTAGGCTGAGCATCCATACATGGTTCGGTCTTGCTCAGGGATACACACTTTGGCTTCAAATCCATCCAAGCAGCAAAAGGTTTTTTTTTCAGAAAGCTCTGCATTCTGAGGCTAAAATAGAACAAGAAAAATACCAACCTCAACATCAGTCTGAATTAAACATAAAACCCTCATCTTTCCTCTGACCTTCACTCTAGCTACAAATCATATACCACATCTGTTCTGATGCTTGGGTTGATTTACTATCCTCCTCCCTCAGCTCTGGCTCATCATCACTTATATTAAGGCTGCTGCTGTGCTGCCTAACCGTAGTCAAGGACAAAAGCAGAAATTCTTGAAATAGTTTAAGTAGTGCTGATTTTGTAATATTCAGAGCTTAACGAAAACCAGAGAATATAGGAAGACTCTGCATGCAATACAACCAAGAGAAATAAAGACTAGAACAGATGTTCCTCCCAGCCTCCAGTTCTTCTGAAATTTATCCCTTAGTAATGGCAGATTTGTGTAACCTCTATCAGCAAAGAGTTTTCCTACCCCGATGTTATGAGATGGCAATATGAAAAGGAAACAAAAATGCTTAGTACCATAAAAACATGATAAAAAACTGCCGAGGCAAAGCACTGGTCTCATTTGCAAGTTCAGATGGAATGCCACATTTGCTCTCTGTTCTCTTCATGATTCCTGTGCTAATAGTACAATGTTTTTAACTTACCACTTAAGCATTTCTGGCATAAAACAGCTGTCTTCCAAAAAAAGAGAAGGAGAAGACCTTTTAGTAAGAAGCATAACGTAGCATTACAACACATTTAATTTCTACTGAAGGCAATGAGCAAGCCAATTGGAAGCAAAAGAACGTGACCTGCCATAGCAACAAAAGCGGCTGACATATCTCCATCACAGAGAAGCAGAGCATTTTAGAGCTCTACAGTGATGTGAATGTGCAAACAATCATGAATAAACAGCCACCATGAGTCTTCAGTGCTACAGATTTGAACTCCAGCAGATGTTTCTGTCTTACAGACCTTGGAAAGCTTACAAATTACCATCTCTTTCCAAGAAGTAATTGTCTATTTGGCTAAAACCCAGGCCCATAGCTGAGATCTTCAAAAATGAGGGTGAGAAGGGGGCAACCATGGTGTGAACAAAGTAAATAAACAGATTAAGAGAAGATGTGATCCAATTTGCTGTATGCCAAAATATTTATTTAAAGTTTACATCACATCTCAAAATTAGCTGGTCAGTGATAAAAACTTCATTGTATGTCAGTGACATTTTTATTTTTAAAAGTCTGCCATGCAATATTGAGCAGCTTCACAGCAATGTAATAGGGGGTAGATTTTGGTCTAAGTTATATCTGTATCTAACTGATTGCAAGCCAGTCTGGGGAAATATGCTCTAAGGGGGCTACCGGATGGAAAGAGAATACACTCTTTGGTGGCATTGTAAGAGGCTCACATTCAGCTCTTCATGCTAACCTCAACCGAACCCCACTGTATGTTTACACAAAGAGAAAAATAAGATCCTTTTTCTAGTATTTTGAAGCATCAGCAGATATTTTTCATATCTCTCTGTGTACTTCCTCTAGTAAAATACTTGGAACTTGGTGACTTTACCCTCTCTTCCACTTACACTGTAACAAAATTAGTTTGTGAACACAGGAACCAGGTTCCCAGCCGGTGAAACTCAACACAGTCTAATAGCAGAGCTTTTCTGATTTGTCCCAGTGGAAGATATAGCCCAGGGTGGTTTGTTCCCCCACCTGATCTGCCATATGCTAGTGTGAAATACCCTACTCAAGCTAACTGCAGTTTTTAAAGTATGTTGTGGGAGCAAGTTTCCTCTGACATGGGCATGGAAGTCTGCAAGAGCAATTCACACGCAGTGCAGCTGAAGAAAGAAACTGAGCCATCTCTGAAATAGTAAATGGGACAGGTACTAAAGCACAGGGCAGGACACTGAGCTTGGATCCTGCAAGTAGGACAGCTTCATCCCCATGAGGCTCTGACTGTGTGCTGAAGAACACCATCACAGTAAAGCCAGAAGGCCTTGCTACCCATTTCTAAAGATTTTGACCTGCTGGTGCACAAAAAGAAGGAAACTATCAATACCAACAAAACAAACAAACAAACAAATAAAAACAAAAAACACCCACAACACCCTTGTCTTAGTCCCTTTGTACTTCCATGCTGCTCTATCATATACAGCTACTGTACACTACTAATCTTGTGCCCCTTCCTACAGCTTACAACTCACAAAAAACTCTGACACAATAAGAGCAATAAGAGTCCATATGCTATAGACCTAGATTGGCATCTGAGAGAAAAGATTTCTAAGCCCATAAACAAAGCTGAGAACTGACCCCAAGCTAACTTTGGAATGGAAAAGGCAATGACACCACGTGTAACTTTCTAGAAATATATTTAGCATAATAATATGTGACACTTCACACACTTTAATCCAAAGTGCTTAGCAGAAACGTAGCACAATTATCCTCTCGTTTTACAGATGGGGAAAGGGATTCACTGAACAGCCACCCCGGGACAGCACATCAGCACCTGGAATTCCTGAATCCCAGGTGTAACGTTCTTCTCTAGCTAAACCCATTCAGCGTAACTGTACCCATGGCAAATGCTAAAGGGTTAAGTTAGCATCGCTACTTGCAACGTTCTTGAGCACACTTCTTACCCAGGCAGTTGTGGCCATCGTGAGCCAACATGAAGCCATCGTAGCAAGTGCAGCGATAATTTCCTGGAATGTTGAAACACTCGTGCACGCAGCCGCCATTGAAGTCGTTATCACATTCATCAACGTCTACAGAATAAAGCAAAAGTCAATATGATGGATGCTTGCTTGAGCATTATAGACAGGTTGTGATGCAGACATGTAACTGTTAACTGCAACTGCTGTCTTAAGTCATCATTGTCTTGCAAATAGACTATACTTAAGGTATTAGTTGTTGAATGTTTCTAAAAAGTAACAAAATTCCTCCAGATTCCCATGTAGCTTTATGTTACAGTTTAAGCTTTCTAAGGCTGCTGATTAAACAACAAACTAATTATTAGATCAAGTGATACTACTAGATGAAAGCCATGCATTTGGCTCTCTTTGCTTTTGTAAACCCGAAAAAAATCAGGTGGCGAGACAAAGAGTATCCTGATTTAAAATCAGCCCGAGGAATAAATCGTCTTCCATATTTTAAGCCATTACTTTTTAATTTCCTTCCTGGTCTTAATGGAAATACTTAATGTTTTCACACGTAACATCACGCACAGTTTTAGCAACCTCGTCTTGAAAACGCAACCAGATGATTAAGAGGATTCACAGACACACACACACAAACAAGTAGACAGTTGGGGCGGGAATGAAAAAGCTCCTGTACAAAGGCACACTAAGAAGTCGGAGGCTATTTTCTGCATTCTCTGTAAGGACTCAACGGACAAATGTAAAGTGATGCAATAAAGTGTGATATGATAAAAGTACGTAACATAACAAATGCAAAAGTTAATACCAGCAAGTCGTCATCATGCCTCATCAAGGCAGAATTCAATTTAATTGAAAGCTCATACAAACATATGTTATACAAGCAACTGATCTGTGGAACTCACTGCTGCATATCACTCACACCAAAAATCTTCACAGTATTCAAAAAATAGTATGCACTAATTTACTTGTAGCATGGATAATCCACTTCAGAGAAGCAAAAGTTAAAGAAGATAAATCACGGACTGGCAAATCATGGAGAACGGTTCACAAAAAACAAGTTCTACCTCTAGCGCTGGCAGGAAACGTCTGTGGTTACAGCATCACACACGTTCGCATACTGCAGTGTTTCTTTCACCTCCTCAGTCTGCTAGTCAGATTTTGGAAATTAAAAAAAACAAACAAAACACCCACAACACACACACACAAAAACACAACACTATTGCTGCTTTGATCTTGTAAACTATCCCGTGTTCCTCCAGCAAACAGTTACATTTTGAGCAGCTGCCAGCCCTGAAGCTCAACACCTTCACTTATACCTATCTTAATTAGGAAAGGGGAAATGGTAAGAAGCAACCAAGGACTACGGTAAAGTATCAAGTCTCCTATTTCTGGGTACCAATCCAACTGCAATTAAAAGTGGATGGATACCCATCTATTTTATTTTAGTACAGCTGGCTAAGGTGAGGGATCATTGGTGCTGACTAAGATTTTTCAAGTGCAGGAGTATGTGGGACCTCCAAGACATCTTTTATGAAAATGAGATTTTTGTCCCAGTATCCCTGGCTGACATTTGCCTTCATCTCACAGAGAGCAGAAACAGTGCCACTGCGAGGCAACTGCCCTCCACTTGCACAAGGAACTTTAGCTTGTTGATTGTATTGGTTTTTATAAAGCACTTGAGGACCTTTCAGGAAGGGAAGGAGAGACAGTTGCTGGCACAGGCAGAGTGTCGTGCTTCCGTCACTTTACCTTCACATTTCTTCCCTTCGCCAGTGTAACCCACTTTGCACATGCACTTGTACAGCTTCGGGGTGTTTTGACAAATAGCATCTGGATGACAGTCATCAAGTCCAAGGGCACATTCATCCACATCTGTGAAAAGACACCAGATTCAGAAGGGATGTCAGCAGGAGCAGAGTAGGAATACCTGGGTGCATCACTGACTAGGCGATGTAAGACTCTCTGTGTGGGTCTGCACGCGGTGCACGCGCCTGCATAAGCACGTGCAAGTCAAACAGAAACATGCAGAGACAGTATCTGGATCTAAATTTGTATTATGGTTGTACCCGCCTATAGGTATATTTGTGTGTGTGTGACTTCAGATAAGCTTGTATTAAGCTTTTTCTCCCACTTGTAAATACATCTACATCAATCCATTATGGGCTAGATCCTCCATGAGATTTAGCTGACAAAGTTTTACAGAGATGCATCAATCTACAGCAGAAGGAAATATGATTTTCTCTCTCCACAGAAGCATGAAGGAGAAGAAAAAATCTCTGTTAATCTCTTTGGTTAACAAAAAATAGTCACTGAAAAAATTGTTTGTCACAGCCATGATGTAACTATAAGGAAGCATGATAACTTTTAAACTAGCAAGGGAAGTTTAGAGAAAGGTACTTTCAAAGTCACCACCACCCTTAACACATTAAAAGACTGACTTACCATTAAACAGATGGTTAATTTATTAATAATCTCAATTTGTAATATTAAAATAATATCTGATGAGCAACATCGTCAAATCACCTGGCCAGCCATCACAACACACGGCATACTGAAGTAAAATATCCAGATGAAAACTCCAGAGTAGAGAAAATGGGGAGAAAGAGAAACATCAACAGGAGGAAGTCCTGGAGATAAAGAAGCGTAGACAGAAAAAGAAGAGTAGTTATAGGCAGCAGAATTTTTTCATGCTGCAGAAGAGGATTCAGAATCCTCAGAAAGAGGAGGACTTCCAGTGACTGGTTAAGAGGAAGAGTTGCAGAAGGGGTACCCTGTATCAGTACAAAAAGTGAATGCTAAAATGATAGAATAAACTGCAGAAATATCAGTAGAAGGCGACTACTGGAGTAGTCAACCATTTTTTTTGGTGGGGATCACTTTCTAACTGAATTTCAGCCAGCACCTCTCCCATTTACAATTACAGCATTCATCTCTTTTTCTATTTGCAATCACAAAATATGCCTGTAGGTACTGCAACAGTTGCCAGCTTTGGAAAAGTATTCAGGTAGTTTGAACTCCTGATGGACCTTGGCAGCGGGAAGCATGGCAAAGAGCCAGTGTTATATAAGAGCACTTTCCTGATGCTCAGGTGCCCACAGAAACGGTAACTGTGACGGGGGCCTGCAGAGACAGCCATCAGAAAACACGGGGAAGGCGAAGGACAGCTGGAGAGACTGGTAGAACCCCCTTCTCTCAAGAGAAAAGACAAGGCACTAAGAAAGGGTAGCGAGCTGAGGGGGCAGTCACACAGGGAGGGGGCAGGGAACTGCCGAGGGGGTCTCCAGCTGGCAGGATTCAGGCAGATGGGGCAGGAGGATAGGATGGGTAGGGGAGGAAAGAAACTAGGTAGAAGGAAACATTAACTGCATCTGTGCCGCCTTCATCACCACGCATGGCCAAGTCTCCCCTCTCCAGCGTGGGCAGGGGGATGCACCTGCCCGCAGCAAGGCTGCTCCCAGCCACGAAGTGCCAAGGAGGGGTTTCTGTCAAAGCTACAGCACACAGACGTCAGCTAGGTCCACCACGACGGCTGTTCTGCGGCTGTGTTACTTTTCACGCTAAGTCCTTGTGATCCACAGCACGCGGCGAAGAAGAGCAGCAAAAAACAGCATTAACGCATGCAGAAGCGTACGTTAACGTACACAGAGAAGAGGGCTAGAAAATTACTGGGCGCATACAGCGAGGCTTCCTCTGCGGCGACGGTAGCCTGAGCTGAAGAGACACCCTGGGGAAGGGAGACTACGAGCAAACATTGCAGCCTTAAACTTGGCAGCGAGGCGGATGCGGAGGAGGCTGCAGGGAGAGTTACTGAGTTCACTCCTCGGCGACTGAAGGCAGATTTAGCCTGTGATATGCGCAGAGTTTGTCCCCGCTTTTCCCGCGGAGGTGAGATGTTAACCAGCTGCCTTGCCCCTGGGATCAACCCGCTCCAGCGGCGGCCCCAGGGGGAAACTCACGGTTAA